GTTCTGGATTTCCCATTAGAAAGCTACCTTTGCTCATTTATCACTATGCTCCTTGTAAAATTAGTAAAATAAGTTGCTGCTGAAATAAAAGAAAAAAAATTCTCTTTGTTGTGGTGACTCCTTTCAGCCACAGGAATGGGTTTTTTAAACTATCTCAAAGGCTAAAGAGGACTTAAAATGGTTTTTAAAAAATCCCTAATAATAATAACAATCATAAAATTAAACGTAAACTTAAAATTCTTATTCTGGGCGTTTAATCCTTATTTATGTTTTACTGTGCCTACGTGCAGCTCTGCTCATCCTTTTTTATCCTTTTTCCTGTTTAAGGCCACCTTCTTTACTTCCCCTCTCATTGATATCACACAAAGAGCCAAGAGTACAAAAAACCCTGAGTTTCAGAAACTGAGTTTTGAGCAGCCTAAGCTTCTTTTTTTTTTTACAGAAATGACTTGTGCATACACTGATCTTATTATCTGAAACTTATTATCTGAAGCATCCACCACTTTAACAGTATACAGTTATGGTCAGTAGTTTTCATACACTCATGGGAATCATGGCATGAACGTCACGGTAAAAGGCTTTTAATGATTTCTTTAAACTGTTTAAATTGTTATTTTTTCCAGGATAGGATACCACATCTTTAATTACATATTTAATGACCTTTAAAAAGAAGAATTGGGTGCACAAATTTGAATTTATTCTCGATATTCCCTAATCCACACAGGGTCAAAGGTAAACACACACACACACCGATATTTGGTTAAATGTCCCTTAGCAGGTTGCACCTTGACAGAAGACTTTTGGTTGCCATCAATAAGCTTCTGGCATAATTCTGGTTGCATACCTGAGCACTCTTCTGGGCAGAATTGGCTGAGTGTATTTAAAGTGTTTGGTTTTCTGATAAAGATCCGGCTTTTAAGCACATCTACATAATGTCAACAGGGCTGAGGTCAGACTGTTGGGAAGGCAATCCCAGCAGCTTAATGCTAGCCTGCTTTATCCGTTTCCAAACCAGTTCGGAATGTGTGTTTGGTATCATTGTGCTACTGGAACACACAGTTGGGTTCAAGTTTCAACCATGTAGCTGATTCGAGGTGAAGTGATCTTGTCAAGTTAAGACAATGTAGAACCTTCAGCAACACTTATTAATAAGTCTGTATATATACACGTCTGGCCTGTGTGGAATACACTCAAATTGTTCTCCCAATTCCCAAAGCTTGTGATGAGTGTATGTAAACGTCTGAGCATAACTGTATATGGCAGACAATAGTAAAAGCATAAGTAGTCAATTTTTACCAGATTCAGTACTTTAATAAAAACAACTAGAGTATAAAAGGCATGCTTAGCTTTAACGATGGGTTGCTGTATGAGCTCTATACCAGACTTGATGTGAAAAGACCTGCCTTGTGAATTTACACCCCCCAAAAAATACCCCAAAACAAAAACAAATCTACTGCTTTTGCCTTTCAGGAATTTAGATGCACTCTAAACTTCTACAATGGGATTTACTTGTACGACTCTTTTTGTTTACATACTAGACGTAACACAAAATCCTTGCTTTCGGTAGAATCTGCATAAGGCGAAAGTAAACAAAACATCAGCAGCTGGTATAGGTGGAATAAGCAGCAAAAGGCTGTTTTTGTACACAGGAATGAACTCGTGCCTTTTCCTCAGACTCAGATACTGCAGAATAGCTCGCTCCCAACACTACAAGCAAAAGGCTGAAATTACTTTAACTATTTAATCCAGGAAGCCAGAGATGATTTACATAGTGATTTTCATGATTGTCTCATTTCTACTTGCAGTGAAAGATGTTTATGAAACTGTTTTTATGCTGTATTCATTCAGCGCCACCATATTGCTTTTATTTGCTCTGCCCTTTTGCTAAATTCTAGATAAAACAACATATTTGAATGACCTATAAGGTGTACCATTTCAGACTACCAGCGACGCTGTTTGTTGTGTCCTCTACATTCCTTGGCCACGGATATGTTTTCATGCGTGTAAGCAGTTGGTGGAGAGCTGTGTCAGAGCACTGTGTTTATGCTGCAGGGAAATGCCATCCATCACTGGCCAGAGCTTTTACCCAGGTGCCTGAGCACAGCCTTGTACAGTCATCTCGTCTCACCTTCTTCTCTGTTATGACAGGCAGCTCAGGGAAAGGCCTTCAAATTATATTCCCATGGAAAATACACTCCTATTTTTAAAAAAAACAACAACATATATTTGAGAGAAAAAAGCGCACACTCACACTGACCACACATATATCTCTCCTCGCACTGCTGCTCAGAAGTTTGGGGTCACATAGAAATGTCCTCATTCTTGAAAAGAAAGTGTGTTTGTTTTACCATGAAAGAACATTAAATTGCATTGAATTAAATGGTTAGTTCACAAAGCCAAGATGTTTTTCCTAATTCAAGTTTATCATGCTAAAATACTAGTGGATCATTAAAAAAAAAACAAAAAAAATCCAGTTATACTGGAACAACTGCAAACTCTTGGCTGAGCTTCTGGAGCATCAGTATTTCTAAGTTATGACTGTAATCTTGAAATGCCAAAACACAAAAAGACTTTGCGTTTGAAAGCCATCACAATATTCCTGTTAAGTATTCTTGGGGAAATGAAGGCTAATCCATGCAGGAAATTGACATCAAACTGAAGATTTCATACAATGATGTGTGCTCTTCACTGAGCTGTGCCAATTGGCTAGAACAGAATGACATGAATAGAAAAAGAATGGGGAGGCCTCGGTGAACAACTGGGCAAGAATAGACAAGGAACGGGAACCTCAGACGATGCTGGTCCTTTAGGCAGGATTGGAAAGAAAAAGCCATATCAGCGACCGGCCACTGAGAGAAGTGATTAAGGCCGGCCAGCGAGTCCAGATACTGGGAAGAAAGTGTTACTTACACACACAGATCTAAGTTAGAGGCATTTGGGCCAAACAAAACACCATCTGTGAGATGCAGAACAAAGGAAAAGATGCTTTAGGGTTACTTGAGTTCATCTTTCAAGCATGGTGGAGGAAATGCAACAATTTGGCTGCAGTAATGTGTGAAATCTGTGCGGGATAAAAGGGATCTGAAACCAGGGAACAGCTTGTGGGAGGCACTTACATGATCGAGGGTTTAAATGTCTCCAGATCTCCTCACCAAACTCACAGCTAGGATGGGAGTGCAGAATTGTGTTAGAACAATTCTTTAAGTTACATGTAAAGAAATAAACTACTCCTATATTAAAATATATATCCAGTTCACGTGTTTCCATGGAAAATGTGAAATTTTCTGTTTGTGACCTGAAACCTTTGAGAGATACTGTATTATGTGCCCAAGTAACAATTTTTCAAATCAGAATGAGCTAATCAAGCCAAGCACCCTGGACAGTGAGCCAAGAAAGTGGGGGGTGAATATCACTTCAGATCTCTGCAGTCGTAATTACGCAGTCGTTGAGTACTTGATAGCCTCTTCCCTCCACCTCCTCACTTCCTGGGATGAAGTAAAGAGAAACTGCGGCTTTCCTCCGATCACAATAATCTAATCTTCATACAATTAGGAGGCAGAATGCAGCGCAGTTCAGTAGTGGGTTTTAATTACACTCTCAAACATTCTTTACACGGGACGTACAAGAGATGAGTGGAATTATATTAATCTGGGTTATATCTGTGTTGGCTGCAAGCCCTCTGGGAGTAACCGACACAATGTCGTATCAGTAATACGGTACGTGACCAGATTAGGCGCCGAAATGGACGCCTGCAATGCATTTATGTGCAGCAAAAGTAGCAGCGTACGAAAATCATTTTACATCCCAGCCAATCAATAGGCAGCCATCTGTTTTAATCCAGCCCATCAGATAAACCCTGTGTGATTTCAACAAACGGTACAGTGCAGTAGAGTCGGGACTAAAACACAGCACTTCAAGGTGGAAAGGGTGAAAGCGGCTTTTGAGAACAGGCATCAAAGGGAAAGAGGGCACACTAAAGACAGAGGAGAAAATGTGAGTAGCCTGCAGGGATTCCAGAAAACTGAACAATAAAAGCACACAATGATAAAAGCGCTTGAAACAACTGAACTAAAAATACTCTGCGGTTTAGATAACACATAAAAATTCACGCTTTGTGACAGTGAGGCTCTAGCTGGATCCTTATCACAATTTACATACACGTGACAAAAAAAACAACATAAAAAACCCTTGACCCCTAGGGCCTCTCTGTTAGGCTGTGTTGGTTTTTTTTGCAGGTTAAACATACTGCAGAGACTTTGAGATGATGAAGATGGCTGTGCGGATGCAAGTTATCTATGATAAGAATGAAAAACTGTAGAAAATATTCTTTAACAGCCAGAGGACATTTTGGAGTCTTAAACAGCACTTCATCAACAAAATACCAACTGAGTGACGTGTACAATTAATCCCAAAGCCCACTGAAGCTGCTGTGGTAGCCTAGCACCTTACTAACACACTGAGGTGTTTTCCCCATAGACATCTTTATTTTTTATCATCATATGTAAATTGTACTGACATACTTTATAGCTCTGTAACGCTTCATGTGGGCCCCTCGTGTATCAGTGTTACTCTTATCAAAATACAATTACACAGTTTAGCAGTAGCTGTATTTGTTGTGCAAATTTTAGTTATTAATTTTAGACTTTTTTTCTTAACAATGCAGTTTTACAAGTTATACATTTACTCAACAACACATGAAGTCCATCTATATATCCATCTATCTATCTATCTATCTATCTATCTATCTAT